AAAAATAAAAAAATAAAATAAAATAAGGTGGTCTTTTATATTAACAAAGTAATTATGAACTCCATCTCTTTGCAGAAAAAGAAATTAACTGCCGGTAAGTCCTCACCCGTGGCTTTTGCAAAAGGCAGCGCTCTCCTATTTCACAAGGATTAGCTCATCTGATCCTCAGCCCGCTCCCAGGGGAGAGGGAACATCCTGATTCCCATTTCCCAGACGCGAGAAGTGAGGTCATTCGGCCAACGTGTGACAGGGACAGCCACATTCCACGGGCGCCTCCAGATGCTCCCCATTCAGGCTGGCCCGGGTACTACCGACCACACAGGCAAAGGAACCTTAGTTTTCCACCGAAAGGAAGAACAATGGCAACAGCTGTCATTTCCAAGCAGCTTTATTTTTTATTTTTATTTTTTTTTAAGATTTTATTTATTTGACAGAGAGAGAGACACAGCGAGAGAGGGAACACAAGCAGGGGGAGTGGGAGAGGGAGAAGCAGGCTTCCCGCCGAGCAGGGAGCCCGATGCAGGGCTCGATCCCAGGACCCCGGGATCATGACCTGAGCCGAAGGCAGACGCCCAATGACTGAGCCACCCAGGTGCCCCTCCAAGCAACTTTAAACACCTACGATCTGTGAAGGCACAAACCAGCCCAGGCAGCAGCCCGTGTGCCTGCCCCTTGGTCTGGCGGGGACGGGAGCGGCCACCAGTCATCTGACAGGTATCTGTCCAGCACCCACTGTGTGCCAGGCAGCAGCCTGGTGTGGCCATGTCTCCATGAGAGACACATCACCGAAGACCAAATGGAAATGGGGCTGGAGATGGTAGAGACCCATGGGCAGCTGATTCTTGTCAAAAGAAAAATGGCACTGGGCTCCTCTGTGAGTTGGCAAGTACCACTCACTGAGAAAATTGAGGTAAAGCTGAAAATCGAAGGAGAGTCCTCAGCTTGCCCAGAACCAGGTCCGAAACGACTGGAATGGCGCCACCACCGCCTTCCCTCTGCTCAGAGCCCTCCTGGGCCCCCACCCCACCCCAGCACCTGCTAACGTCATCTCCCCCCACTCTCCTGCTATACTGGCCTGCAGGCACAGGACCATCTCAGGGCCTTTGCACCGGCCGTTCCCACAGCCCGGGATGCTCTCCCAGCAAATCTCCACTGGTGGCTCCCCCCTCACCTGCTTAAGTCTTGGCTCAAATGTCACTGTCCCAAGAAGGCCTTCCCTGATGCCCAGCCCCCTACTATTTAAAACCCGAACTTTCCCCTGCCCTCTCCAGGAGGAGCCTGCTCTTCTTTTCCTTAACAGTTATCAATTTCCACCCTGTTCTGCCCCCTTCCTTATCTGCCCCCCACGGCAGGGGTTTTGGTATCTTGCTCAGGGCTGTGTCTGCACCCCAGAACAGGGCCGCACACAGAGTACATGTGCTCAGAAAACATTTTTCAATGAACAAATGAAAACTGCACAGCGTTTTAAGCACTCTTCCTGTGCTAGACACTCTTCGAAGCATTTAGTCCTCCCTCCACCCTCAATGATAGGCACCAGATGACTTTATCTCCCCTAAGAGGTGAAACACACCCATCTGCTCACCTGAAAGGGGCCCATCAGTAGATACTGTTAACAGCCCCATTTCCTAGCTGGGGATACCAAGGCTCAGAGGGGAAAGGTTCATGGGATCAAGCCCAGCCCTGGGGGATTCTGAGCTGGAGGCCTCAACCTCGGCTTCCTCCTCTTCTCCCAAGGAAAAATTTCCCAAGCTCCTCCCTCCATTTGGCTGCTGAGGCTAAAAGACCAGGGTCACTGGAGAGCTACATCCTTCCCCCTTCTTAGGGCCACATTCTGGTACAGGGCAGACAAGCCAAGGGTCTTAAACTCAAAGGTTTCCAGGGCCAGGAGTCCCCAGGCAAATGTAAAATGAGCCTGGGCGACTATTAGGGAGGAGTGAGGAGTGTGGCACCTCCCGTGGCCACTTCTAGTCTGACCCAGGCACTTGATGCCAAGCAAGACTTGGGCCTAGGGAGGCCAGAATATGAGGATTATAACAACAGCTGCCAGGGGCATAGATAGGGTCAATGCACTCAACACCCATTAACTTATGCAGTCCCCCTGGGGAGGGTGTAGTTATCACCCCATTTTACAGAAAAGGAACCTGAGTCCACTTGGCCAAAGTCACACACCCAAACATGCTGGAGTCAGGCCTAAGGCCTAAGGCCTAAGGCCCATGTACACCACCACTAAACTCTAAAGATCTGTGGGTGTTTGCTAAGCAATGCAAAAATCCAAATCTTGATGCAAAATATAAATACTGGCAGCTAATTAAAAACAAAAAAGATCTGAAATGCTATGCAGGTGAAACAAAAACCAGCAAGCAGGCCTCGGGCCCCAGCTGCCGATCTGCAATCACTGGTACAGGCTGAGCTAACTGGGCCATTCTCCCTTGGACCACATTCTTAGAAAAACCAACAAGGAGGAGGCAATGAAACAGAGCAGTCTGTGCTGACCCCCAGGCCCAGGCCCTTGACATACTCTCTCGTTTGTTCCTTGAAACTAGACAAGATGTCCACTGTAAAGATCCATAGTGCAAAGAGGCAAACAGGTTCTCATTCAAAATGAGGCCTGCCTGCCATCCCCCTATGGCAGGGCTCGGTAGCTAAGAAACCTGACCCACGCTCCAGAAATAAAAAGAAGTTAGCTCTGTTTGAGCAACCCATCCCCGAGAAGCTTTTTTAAAACTCTGGTTCTCAGGCCCCGAACTAATGCTCTCAACGATCAAGGTCACATTGCAGGCTTCTGGGAGGAGGTTGCCACAGAAGCCAGCTCAGTAGTAGATGCCTGGATGGGTGGGTAAGAGAGAAAGGCGAAGGGCAGAGAGACTGAGGGGAGGTGGGCAGGGGAGAGAGACCCCAGGTCCCCAACCTAGAGCCCCCAATTCCTCACTGAACGGCCTTGAGCAAGAGTGCTCTGCTGAGCCTCCGTTTTCTGCTCTGTAAAATGGGATCATAGCAGTGTCAGCCTCGTCAGGCTTAAATGCAGTCCAGTGTGTAACTTGAGCACTTTCATTCTGATTAGTTTTTGTTGATGATATGAGAGGAACCAGCATGGTGAATAACAGCCTGTCCATGTCGACCTACTGTGTGCCACGCACTGTGTTAAGTAAGCACTTTCAACACATCATGTCCCTGCATCATGGCAACAGTCTTGTCGAGGGACCATCACCCCATTTTTAGGAGGGGAAACTGAGGCTCAGAGAGGCCAAACCACCTGAGCAAAGTCCCAAGGCAAATGAAATAGACAGAACTTTGCTGTGTGCCCATCGAAAGCCTGGGCAGGGAGGAAGATAACCATGCAAAGGGGCCCACAGCCCAGCCCAAGGCTCAGCCCAGGCCCGGCTGACCCCAAGTCCACACCTTTCCGCCACAGTGGACAACAGGCAAGGCGCCAGAGACAAAGCAGCAAAGGAGGAAATTCATGCCGCTGACAGCCAAACTCCAGGCCTCCGGGAAGGCAGGGCGGGGCTGGGCACCCAGCTGGGTTCCAGTGAGCCCTAGCCTGGTGCCCTTGGGCCAAGAATGAGTCTTTTCTGAGCCTCCCTGCTCCTGTCTAAGGTGGGGATAAGAGAACTTCCACCTCGCTCACTATGGGGTTCAAGAGGCTGACAAAAGAACTCAGCCTGGGGCCTGCCAGATGAACATTACCCCTCAACACCGATAACAACCACAGTAATACTAACGATTACTGTGATGTTATCGTTTGGCAGCCACAGGCACAAATGGAGTCCTTTCCAGAATGGAGAAGTGACAGCCCATCTGGGAGGCAGAAGGGCAAGAGGCGGGGGAAGGGAGAGGAAAGAACCAAACACCCCTGGAGGCCACATGTCCAGCTCTCATTCATCAGCTTCCTGAATCCTGGAAACAGCCCAGAGAGTGGAGTTTGCCCACCGGACAGATGGGCACACTGAGGCTTCTCAGGGCTGCCCAAAAGCCTGATAAGGCTCCAACGAGGGCCCCCAATTTGCAGGCTTTCGCTTGGGAGCTGGCCTCTGTGTTCTGGGATACCAGAGCACCCTGACAAGGGCCGGGAAAGAATCCTGCAGAAAGGTTCCCCCCCGCCCCCAGGGCCTACTTCCAACTGATAGGGAAATTCAGGTTTCATCCTTCAGCTCCCTTGTCCTCTGCATGCTCCCACCACCTCCTCCCTACTGCAGAGGTGGGGCCAGGCAGCCAGGGCCTGCCAGGGCACTGATGGGCAGACTAAGATAAGGCCGACACCTGTACAGACAACAGGATCTATTTGTGAGAGAAGCCAGCGTTTGCCAGGGACCAGGCTTTAGAGTCTGCCTAGGAGAACCAGACAACCGAGTCCCCTAGGGTCCAGCCAGCCAGTCAGACTGCAGAGGCTAGCCAGAGTAACCCAACAGAGGCACGGCTAAGTGTTAAAGTCTGCGAGGGGCACGGACGGGCAGCCAGACAGCACAGGTCACCCCAGACAGCTAGCCAGGCAGCAGGGGGCCACCCTGAGGGAATGGACAGATGGACAGCCAAATGGTGGTGGCAAGGAGTTCTATCCAGGACAGAGAGACAGCTAACCAGACGGCAGGGGCTGCTCCAGATAAATGAACAGCCAGCCAGACCACAGGGGTTCGAACCAATAGGTATCTCGCTGGCAGGTTTCGGACAGACAGAGAAGAGGGACCCTGAACCACAGGCAACCAGATGGTAGAATTCAGCCACGAAAGGGGGGACCAGAAGAGTCGGCGACGGTCCACCGCACTTCCTGGCCCACGCCCCCCCCCAGTCGATGAGACGCCCCAAGGGCCTGAGCCGGCTCCCCAACCCCTGCAGGAAGCCCTCCGCCCAGGGCGTCCCACAGAGCCCGCCTCCCTGTCCCCGTCCCCGTCGCGGGGACGCAAGCGCCGCAGTTACGCCGGCTGCGCAGGGCGCGCCATTCCCGGTCCGCCCTCCGCGCCCTAGGCCGCCGCCCGCCCGCCGTCGCCGCCGCGCTCGCTCACCGGCCGACGAAGTTCTCGAGCACCGAGCTCTTGCCGGCGCTCTGGCCGCCCACCACGGCGATCTGCGGCAGGTCCAGGTGGCAGCTCTGGCCGATGGAGCTGAAAGCGTCCTGCAGCTTGTTGACCAGCGGGATCAGCTCTTCCATCCCGCGGTTGCCCATGGCGCCGGCGGCCCCGGCCCGAGCGCCCCGCGCTCCCCGCCTGCCCCCGGCCCTTAACGACGCGGCCCCGCGGCGTCCGCAGCCGTTGCTCCCCGCCCGCCCGGGCCTCGGCGCGACGCCCGCTCCCGGCTCGGCCTCACAGTCGCCGCCTCATCCGGTTCTCAGACGACACCCGACCCGAGCGACCTCCCGCCCGGGCTCCGGGGCTGCGCCCAAAGCCCTCACGCCGCCCCCGATTGGCCGGTCGCGCTGCCACTCGTACACACGAGCCAGTGAAAGAGAGGCATAGGCCTATGGTTGAGTGAACCTTCCCCCAGGAGACCTCCCGGTGGGTTCATTGGACTCCGGAACTGTCGTTTTTCCGCAAGAGCCAATAGCGTGGGGGCAGCGAGTTGTCAAGGCCAGGAGGCGGTGTTTCGGGAAAAGGCAATGTTGGCTCCGCCTATTATGGGAGGTCCCCGACGGCAAGAAAACCCAAGTCTTATTGGCAGAAAGACCCGCCAGTCAAAAGTGCCGGCCAATGACATTAGGGATCGATTCATAGACTCTGGTTTGTCACTTGACGCTAACTAGTTTCCTAAGAATTCCCCATTGGTTTATATGAATATCATTTCGTTCCTCCAGCCAACAAAGCCAGAGAGGACGGGCTTTGACCTCCGAATCCTGACTTTGATTGAGGACTTCTCTGTCAATCAAAGAATCTCCCGTTCTGTGATTGTTGTAGGTCTATTAGTCTTCCGGAGTAAAGGATAAGGCCCACCGTACTCGCCGAAGGGCGACACCTCGTGGTGGGACTCGGTAGTGTCCATCGCTTCTGAGTTTCCGGCCTCTAAAGAGAACTACAAGTCCCAGAATGCACCTCGGCCCGGGGCTTGCAAACCAGCTTTTCGCGCGGGGTTTCAAAGCGCTTTGAAGATGAGTCCGGCGTTAGTAGCTCCTAGGGAGAGGCGGTCTAGCGCTGCATCGTTGGCTCTCATTTTCGTTCCTGTAAAGTCTCACCTTCACGCTTTTGCAACTGCTGTGCCCTTTCCTAGGATTACCTTCTGCTCACGCCCCGACTTGATTCAGCTAACGCCTGCAACGTTGTTCCCCTGCCTCTTCAACTTGAGCGCATCGTGACCTTTTTGAGTACCCAATGAAACTCAATGGATCCTCTCCCCTTGAAAAGATACTATTTTGCAATCGGTGTTGGAGGTTCTGGGATCTAGGGATCTTGACCTCGTGGGAAAAAAAGCCGGAGACAGGTGGAAGGATTTTATGAAAAGAAGTGATTTGATCCCCCTAGGCATAGATTGGCCAGAAAGAAGCCCAATAAGGAGTCAGATGCAATGGAGGTAGGGAAGTGGGCTGATGAGGCCGTAACAGGGGAGTGGCAGAGCGGCCAATGGTATATGCCTGCTCCAAGACCTAAAACCCTGGTCTCAGAGAGGTGGGCAAAAAGTTAACCGACAAGGCTTGGCACTGGAGCCTTGACCACAGTGACGGAAACCTGGAAACACCCTACATCCCCTTCATTGAGCTGGTTAAATAAATACTGTGCAACAGCTCTAAGACAGGAAGTCTTCATGGTCTGACGTGTAAACAATTTGAAATATACTAAGAGAAAAAAAGGTACAGAACTGCACATCAAGGGCGCCCACATTCATGAATATATATACATGAAAAATCTCTGGGAGAATCACAAACTGATCAAAAAGTTGCATTTTTATGCTATTAGAATAGTGGATCCTACACATTGTATACATGGATTACTTTTTCAATATAAAAACCCTTATCTTGGGGCGCCTGGGTGGCTCAGTCGTTGAGCGTCTGCCTTCGGCTCGGGTCATGGTCCCAGGGTCCTGGGATTGAGCCCCGCATCGGGCTCCCTGCTCTGCGGGAAGCCTGCTTCTCCCTCTCCCACTCCCCCTGCTTGTGTTCCCTCTCTCACTGTTTAAAAAAAAAAAAAAAAAAAATCTTAAAAAAAAGAACAGTACCGGGCACAGCGTAAGCACCTGCTAGATCACACCTACTGCCTTCATCACTGTGTTTACTGACAGCAAAATTAAGCCACGTGTCAATAGTCAAGGCTCAGAGCATGAGCTCTGGAGCCAGGGGGCTACCTCTCAGTGGTGACCTTGGGTAAGCTACTTTCCCTCTCCACCTGTTTCCTCACCTGTGAAAAGTGGGGTAACAAGTGCCCCCCACAGGTGGCTGGGGGGCCTGAGCCACAGGAAAAGGGATGCACCTCCCTGGGCTACGCCAGGTGGTTTCCAGAGATCAGCTGCTGCTATGGTTACTTATTATTATCAGCGGGGGGGTGGGGGAGGATGGGGGGATGGGGACGACACACTGGCCACAGTGACACTCAGAGGAAGAAGAGGACCAAGACAGGCCACCTTCCCAAGAAGGCACAGATATACTCTAAATTAGAATAATAATTTAAAAAAATCCTTCGATACCTCCCATTCCCTCCCCTCCCCTCCCTCCCTCCCCCAAGCCAGATCAACTCAGTGTGATCCCCACCGAGGCCAGGGCTTCAGTGGCCCAGGTGGGACAGAGGGTGGGGTCCCCATACATGGTACCCATGAAGTCCCGTACGAAGTCAGGGAAGCGCTTCTCCACAATGCTGGCACGCACGGCGCTCATCAGCTGTAGCTGGGGGGGGGGGGGGGAGGTGTCAGCCAAGGGGCCCCAGGGCCCTCCCCCGCTCCGACCCCAAGCCTGGCCCGCCCTGGCCGCAGGCCCACCTGGTAGGCGATGTTGTGGACAGTGAGGTGGTGCAGGGCAGCCGTGTTGTCACTGTGCAGAAGTGCGTGCAGGAAGGCCCGGCTGTGCCTGTGGACAGGAGGCTGGGGCTCAGCCACGCAGAGTCCTGCAACCCGCCACACCCTCCCCCAGCCCCCAGGCCCAGCTCCGCCTACTTCTGGCAGGTGGGACAGGCACAGTTGGAGTCTATGGGCTGGAAGTCCTTCTCATACTGCTTCTTCTTCAGCTGCAGGTTCCCGGTGGGCACCAAAGCGGAGCCAAAGCGCTGGGGGAGGGGTGGACGAGGGGAAGGTGGGGGTCAACCAGGCCTTCATCCGCACCAGCCCCACCCCAACCTTGGCCCCCCTAGCCCCCCACCCGTCGTCTGCCCCCTGCCAGGGCCTCACCGCCGTCCGCGTGGGGAAGACGCAGTCGAACATGTCACATCCAAGAGCCACGCAGACCACCAGATCGGTGGCATAGCTGGGAGGAGGGCCATGGAGGGAGGGAGCAGAGAACCTCATGCCCTGGTCACACACCCAGGCCTCCCCCCATCACAGACACTCCGACTCCCCAGGGACTGGACCACATTCCCTCTGAACCGCCCCCAGAGGAAAGCCATGTCCTCCTTTAGTCCCCTCCCAGGCAGGGCTGTGTCCTTCCACCAACACCAGCCCAGGCAGGAATCCCCAGGAACCCCTTCCTACAGGTAGGGCCATTTCCCCTCGTCTCCACATACCCGACCCCCATCAGGTAGCGTGGCTTGTCCTTAGGCAGCCTTGAAGTGCTCAGGGCCACCATCCTCCAGAACTGGCCCTTGCTCTCGCCCCCGCTCAGGCCCCCAATGGCGAAGCCTGGCACGTCCCTCTTGGTCATCTCTGGGGGTACAGGGCAAGGTGAGGAGTCACCGGGCGAAAGAAAATACGCCTCCTCCTCTGCAGCCCCAGGGCAGACCCTGCCCAGACCAGGGCAGACCCTCGGGAAGAAAGAGAGAGAAGTGGGGGAAGGGCGGGTATCTGTCTGTCTTTCCATCTGTCTGTCTAAAGGCCGCTGGTGAGCTCAGCTACCATATGTTGAACACCTGCTGTGTGTGAAGCTCCCTCCACTCCTTCAGTCCTCAGGAGAGGCCTACAGCCTGTGCACCCTTCACTGACAGCGAAGATGACGCCTTGTATGTTTCAAAACTGAGCATTTTCCAGGTTTTAGAACAGCGAACATCCCACATGCAAGGTAACAGCCTGTCCTCAAAATCTGTAACGTTTCTGCACCAAAACATGAAGAGACTCCCAACAACTGGGGTAAATAACCCCGTAGGTCTGATCTGGTCTGGCCCGCAAAGGAGTGGGTTGCCGCATATGCCAGAGGCTGGGTTTAAGCCCAGGTCTAGTCTCCAAGCCCAGCCTTGCCTTGGGCCCCAGCTGCCTAGTTGAACCATGGGAGGCCACAGCATCAACAAAATGGACCCGTCCGAAGGGTCAGATTTCGAAGCTGGAATGAGCAGTCCAATCCACTGGAGATAAGTTGTTCAAATGTGGCCTCCCAGCCACCCCACCCCCACCCCGACCTCACCGTGGACTCTGATCCCATCCTGGGGAGAACCCAGGCGGTGCTGCTGCTGGTGCAGGTGAGCTTAGAGCGCTTCGAGAAGCATCACCAGTGTGGCCAAAACTGAATTTGCTAGGGCAAGACCAGCGTGGTAGGTTTTTTTTGTTTTTCAAATGAGAGCACAGAGAATGCCAGAAAATGTTTCACGTGTAAGGGTAACGTTTCATGAAGTCTTGGTTTCTGCTTTCATCTATGTCCACACATACTGAGCTGTGACGTGAAGTGTATCTCTGCCTGGGGGTCTCCTTTAAAATGGCTCACTGGACCGGGAGCCGGGCACAGCTTGAGGACAAAAGGAATTCCAACAAGGACAGTCTGCACAATGGTACACATGGATGCCAGGTGCAGGCACAGGACTAAACAGACCTTCCCGTTTATCCTCACTTCGACCCCATGACATTGGGAATATGTGCCCATTTCACAGAGGAAAAAAGGGAGGCTCAGAGAGGCCAAGGGTGCAGAACCATGAGGCAGCAGATCAGAGGTCTGGATCCAGCCAAACAAACTCTAGGACCCAGAGTCTTGCCTATGACACTTCGTTGCCTTTGCGCCCCCATCTCTGCCTCCCTTTTGTCTCCATGGCCATGGCCTTGGTATAGGTCTCTCACTCTTCTCCTGGGCAAATACTCCAACCTCTTCATGGGCCTTCTGCTTCCTATCCTACTGGGATTTTCCCATGATTCCTCTTGGTCCCTGTCACTTGCCCAC